TCGCGTTCACTCATCTTGTGAATGATTTTCTGAAATATAAAGTGAAAGTGCAGGATTCTTTCACATCTCTTTAGTAAATCAGAAAATAAGCAGGGGAAAAACTGCAGGGCTGCACATGTTTTAACAAAAGGTTCTTATCTTAACTAAACAGTCGAAGCATCGGGAGCAGGATTAGCAAACACTAGGTAATGAACTGTGTGTGTGTGTGTGTGTTTGCACAAAAGTCCCCAGGTTAGATCTTTCCTGCTGATGACACAAATTGGTTGCTTTTTTGAGTTTTTGTTTTTTTCTTTTTGTAATATTGGCCTGTAGCCTCGTTCTGCTCTGTTATGTATGCAGTTTACTGAAACCAGAGTGTAGCCTGGCTTACATGACTCTGTTTTTCTGCTGCAGCCTCACATGCACCTGCGCTGCTTCTGTTTTTGGCTCATTGTTGCTGTCCTCATTATCTCTGCCCGAGTACATTTCAGGCCGAACTGTATACCCGTCAGCCAGTATACAAGTCAGTATATCTGATTACTGTACTCTCAGCACTGTCTTCATACTGAGTAGCATGGCAGCTGAGTTAGCTGTTATATGGAAACAAGTAGTGTCTCCACCTATGGTAGTTGTCTAGTTTGTTGAATACATGGCTGGCAACAGTATTGTATTCACTTAAAATAATGTCTTGGGGTCACAGTTGAGTCTATATTTCCCACAGTTAGGCTCTGTTGGTGGTTTTAGTTGTGGTGCATGTCCATGTGTGGAGTGTGGAGTGTGTGTGCCCAAAAAGAGGTCAAGGTTTTTTCTTTGTAGAGAAATAATTTTGCTTGCCAAAAGCATTTTAAACAGCACCAAAGAAAACTCACAAGCAGCAAAGTGATAATGTTTTAGAATGAAAAAAACAAACAAAAATCAAGCGGTGTGTGGATGTGTTTAATTACATCATTCAACAAGCAGCACATACTTGGTGTGTTGGTCTTCTTAGAGGCCAGCTCTTCTTTATCCCACAGCTGGTGGATCAGCAAGCACAGATGTAGTGATCTGGTTTTGACAGGGTCCCACTTTTACACTGATAGTGACCTGAGTGCTTCATTAGAAACACTAGAGCCCAGCTTCTCCCAGCAGTATATTACAAGGTGGCCAACACGCACTCATGTCAAACTCCATGTTTCAGCACCAGCGTAACATCGTAAATGTTGAACTGAAGACTAATAGTCTCTCTAGTTTCACACCGTTTTCCAGGCTTCTTTTTTTCACTGCTAAATCCTGATTTTATAACAAAAAGAGGTTCTCTGACAAAATCTCCGGCCACACTTTAAAGTCTTGGTGATTCTGTGATTTCAGCAGTATTCACATGTTGAATCGTCACTCAGAGGCACAGTGTGAAGTCCTATCAGGATAAAACTTCTTGTTAGCGGCTGTACTGACGATTTGTAGTCAACAGTTCTTTAGGTTTCTACATCGGTCATGAACTGTCTGAGTAACAGTTTAAAATGGAGCGTTTCAGACAGAGGCTGAACGAAGGTCCTGCAGCAATGTACAGTATAAAGACACAA